GGTGAGCTCTTGCAAATTGTAGCCTCTTTTTCCTATTTGTAGTGGAGATGAGTGGTACCCGGTGGAGTCTTCTGCTGTTGTAGCCCATCCGCCTCAAGGTTGTGCGTGTTGTGGCTTCACAAATGCTTTGCTGCATACCTCGGTTGTAACGAGTGGTTATTTCAGTCACTGTTGCCCTTCTATCAGTTTGAACCAGTCTGGCCATTCTCCTCTGACCTCTGGCATCAACAAGGCATTTCCGCCCACAGAACTGCCGCTCACTGGATGTTTTTTCTTTTTCGGACCATTCTCTGTAAACCCTAGAGATGGTTGTGCGTGAAAATCCCAGTAGATTAGCAGTTTCTGAAATACTCAGACCAGCCCTTCTGGCACCAACAATCATGCCACGTTCAAAGTCACTCAAATCAACTTTCTTCCCCATACTGATGCTTGGTTTGAACTGCAGGAGATTGTCTTGACCATGTCTACATGCCTAAATGCACTGAGTTGCCGCCATGTGATTGGCTGCTTAGAAATTAAGTGTTAACGAGCAGTTGGACAGGTGTACCTAATAAAGTGGCCGGTGAGTGTATATATTCGGGAATTCGGGCCAGGCGGAAATTTCTGTTGAAATGATTTATGAGCTCAGGCAGACTGCTGATCTCACTCTCCGGGCCACCAGGGAGACAGCTAATTCTATCGGCCGGTCTATGGCAGCCATGGTGGCCACAGATAGACACTTGTGGTTGAGTCAGACCTCTATGAAGGAAAAAGATAAGACTCTCCTTTTAAATGCTCCAGTTTCGCCTATGGGCCTCTTTGGTGACGCTCTTCTTTCTGTCACGGAGAGGTTCCAGGAAGAGAAGAAACAGGCGGCTGCTTTTCAAAAATTTATGCCCCTTAAAGTGCGAGTCGCTGGGGCTGCTGAGCGAGGGCAGTCCCAGTCGCCGAGTACCTCAAAAAGAGCGCAGCAGAATGAAGTGTCGCGTCTCGTGCCCCCCCGCAGAGAAACTGGAGGGGCGAGGCGGGGCGCTCCCCGGCGCGACCTTCCCGTGGTAGGGCTGATCTGAGGACAGTCATTATCGCCAAGAAGGCCGCGTCGAAAAAATCCTGACGTACTGAACGTCAGGACTCTGAGGGTGGTCCCCATAGTGAAAGACTTGAGTTCACTGCACAATAACACGGTGCCCTGTCTTTCCCGATGCCCTCAGGGGTCTGCTCTACTTACCCTGCCTTTACAGGGCGTAGAGAGACTCGGCGAGCGATTTCCCGAGGGACGCTCGCCCCCTCCGAGGAGGGTTGTGGAGTGCCCAGACCAGCTGTTCCCTGCCAGTACGTTACAGGGCGCTGTGTCTGTCACTCGGGATGTTCAAATCAGATCCGAGGACTGGTTTGTCACGATAGATCTAAAGGACGCTTACTTCCATGTATATATCCTCCCTCAACAAAGGAAGTTCCTGAGGTTCACTTTCGGGGGCGAAGCGTACCAATATCGGGTTCTTCCGTTCGGCCTAGCACTGTCACCCCGAACATTCACGAAGTGTATGGATGCTGCTATAGCCCCGCTGAGGTTACAGGGCATCCGCTTTCTGAACTATATAGACGATTGCTTGATTCTAGCTCAATCGGAACAACAGGCGGTTCGGCACCGAGATGTCGTTCTTGCTCATATCAAGTGACTGGGGCTGAGGCTCAACGCCAAGAAGAGTGTTCTTTCTCCATTACAGAGAACCACTTTTCTAGGTGTAGTGTGGGATTCAATGACGATGCAGGCACGATTGTCACCTGCTCGTATTGCTTTGATTCTCGCCGCAGTAGATCAGGTCAGCTAGGCCAGTCATCCACTGTAAAACCGTTCCAGAGACTGTTAGGTCTCATGGCAGCTGCGTCCAACGTGATACCTTTTGGCCTCTTGCACATGAGACCGTTACAGTGGTGGCTCAGAACCAAGGGATTCTCCCCGAGGGGAAATCCGCTTCGCATGATCATGAGTTTGCGACGGTGTCATCGCGCCCTGATCATGTGGAAAGGTCCTTGGTTTCTGTCCCAAGGCCCTGTGTTAGGAGCTCCTTGTCGTCGCGTTATGCTAACGACAGATGCTTCTCTCACGGGTTGGGGGGGCGATCATGGATGGTCGCCCGGCTCAGGGTCTGTGGGAGGACCATCATCGTCTGTGGCACATAAACTGCCTAGAGATGTTGGCGATGTTTCAGGCTCTGAAACACTTCCTCCCAGACCTAAGGGGCCACCATGTTCTTGTCCGGACAGACAACACATCGGTGGTTTCTTATATCAACCATCAGGGGGGTCTGCGTTCTCGCCCGCTTTACAAACTGGCACGTCAGATCCTTCTATGGTCCCAGGGGAAAATTCTTTCTTTGAGAGCTATTTATCTCCCGGGGTATTTAAATCAGGGGGCAGACATCCTGTCAAGACAGGGGCCGAGGCCCGGGGAATGGACTCTTCACCCCGAGATGGTGGAACTCCTATGGAAACATTTCGGTCGTGCCGAGGTAGACCTATTTGCTTCTCGAGAAACATCACACTGCCCGCTGTGTTCTCTCTTAGCCATCCAGCCCCGCTGGGGTTGGATGCGATGGTACATCCATGGCCGAGGTCACGTCCGTACGCTTTTCCCCCGATCGCTCTGCTCCCGGGAGTTCTGGAGACGGGAGTTCTGCCGGGACGGGCTCAGTCTCCTGCTAATAGCCCCGTTCTGGCCGGCCCGAGTATGGTTTGCGGACCTAGTGTCTCTCCTCGACGGCTCTCCCCTGGAGATACCGATCAGGAGAGATCTGCTCTCTCAGGCGAGCGGGTCGATCCTAAAAAATCACCCCCGCCCAGAGCTATGGAGGCTGTGGGCTTGGCCTCTGAGGGGGCCCAGCTCATAGATTCTGGTCTCTCGGCTGAGGTCGTTGAGACCATCCTCCAATCCAGAGCTCCCTCCACGAGGAAGTTATATGCCGCGAGGTGGAAACTTTTCACCTCTTGGTGTGGAGAGCGCCAGCAGGACCCAGTTAACTGCCCGGTCGGTACAGTGCTGGGTTTCCTGCAGGACCGTCTCTCCACAGGGTTATCCCACTCCACACTGAAGGTGTATGTGGCGGCCTTAGCTGCTTACCACACCCCTTCAAGTGGAGGTTCCCTCGGGAAACACCCACTAATGTCTCGCTTCCTTCGTGGCACCTTGAGGCTGAGGCCTGCAGTTCGCACGAAGGTACCAGCTTGGGATCTGGCCATCATCTTAGAAGGTCTCTCCCTTGCTCCTTTAGAGCCCATCGAGGAAGTTTCGGAATAAGTTTCTTACTCTAAAGACTATCCTTCTTCTCGCTATCTCATCTCTAAAAAGAATTGGAGATATTCAAGCACTTTCGGTGGCTCCCTCGTGCCTGGAATTTGCTCCTGGTATGGTTAAGGCTTTTCTCTTTCCGAGACCAGGTTATGTTCCTAAGGTTCCAACTGTTTCTGTTAGACCTATAGTTCTGCAGGTTTTCTGTCCTCCGCCTTTTCTGACGTCAGACCAGGAGAAACTTAATTTGTTGTGTCCCGTTAGGGCTTTAGATGCTTACGTCCACAGAGCTGCCCTGTGGAGGAGATCAGAACAACTGTTCGTCTTTTTGGGTCACCTAAGAAAGGGTGTCCTGCATCTAGGCAAAGGATGAGCAAGTGGGTGGTCGAGGCCATCTCACTTGCTTATGGTTCGGCCCATCAGCCTTCACCTTTGGCTGTAAGGGCTCATTCCACCCGGAGTATGGCTGCTTCTACAGCTCTTCTTTCAGGAGCTTCTCTTCAGGACGTTTGTGATGCGGCAGGCTGGTCCTCACCGCACACTTTCGTCAGATTTTATTCCCTTGACCTTAGCTCCACTTCAGGGGCTCAGGTTCTCTCGTCGGTTTGTGTCTCCTGATGACACACGACGGGGATTTGGTCGTATGGGGATGTGGGTATTGCGTTCCCACTGCGATTACACGCAGCGGTAGTCCCTGAAGGGGAACGTCCCGGGTTACGTATGTAACCCTAGTTCCCCGAAGGGACGGACGCTGCGTGTCCTGCCATACTCTCGGCATCCCCTTGGGTCGCTGCTTCAGTAACTTTTAAGCTGGCGTATTGTGTGCTCAGGGGATACTTATAGCTTCCTGGTCGATGACGTCACTCGCCGTACGCTCATTCTCTCCATTGACTGATTTCATTCATGCTTCAGACGCGTCACGCTGAGGGCGTTCCCACTGCGATTACACGCAGCGTCCGTCCCTTCGGGGAACTAGGGTTACATACGTAACCCGGGACGTTATTAGGTTGGTTTTCATTAATATCAAACTTCAATTACCCAGGGTAGGTTTGCTGAGTGCCCTGCTTTATAGGCTAAGATACATGTCTTTTGGGGTGGACGTGGGAGAAGACTTGGATGATGAAAAATGATGCTAAACACTGAGCCACACTATGCACATACATATTAAATTGAGTGTACTGTACTTTATGAGTTATTCACCTGAAATAATGTATTATATTAGAATATTGTTTTACTTTCTCCCTAGGTGCAGAGAGTGTCTTCCTGAGGAGTGGTTCTGTGGGGACTGTGATGTATTGCATCACAAAAAACAGCCACTCCACAACAGGGAATGCGTGATTCGTGGGTTTTTTCAACCCATTCCTCCAACCTCATGCATCATTAAAGGGGAAGATGGATATTGCACCCATGAGCAAGGTACATTCTCATGAAAGCCCTAATTTTGCGTTTCAATGTATGTCTGCAGACAGTTACAGATAATCTAAATTATTGGTTTTCCTTCTTTTTGCCAGCTTGCATTTTGCCAACTGTGAAGGTGCCAGACTGCTCCTGTGGAGCCACAAACTTCACTGTGTTACCAGGCAAACCAGTGATTTTAATTACGATCAATGGTAAAAAATAGTAATCAATATTTAGATTTTTATTGTAGATTTGATGTTTTTCACACTAGTGTACGTATTAAGTATGTGGTAATTAAATGTGTATTTTATTTATTTATTTTTCTTGTTCCAAGGGCGTTTTGACTTGCATCAGCCACTATATGTATGTCAAACATGCCAGCAGCAGTGGACCCCTGACATGAAGGACCTCCTAAGAAGTGGATATTGGCCAGCCTCTGTCCAGAACTCCACACTTTATACACTGGACCTCCTGAGCTCCCTTCAGGAACTCAAGATCATTTCTCCGGGATTCTCCAGACAAGCCTTCGCAAAGCTGCTGGAGCATCGCACTAAGTGTGGAGGAAGAGTAAGTGTAAATGTTATTACCATATTATAACATTTCTTTCCAAAAGCAGACAATATCACAAATACTATTTAATTCTATATATTTTCCAGTCTGGACCTATCAACGGCGATGCACTGCAGCGCAGCTTCTTAGAGCTTTAATATGCATCATTTGAGGAAGACCAGCTCTGCTGTAGTTCTCCTTTCACCTGCCCAGCCTGCAAGCCGGAAATGTTGGCTGTTTCAGCAGATGGAAACAGAAAGCTATATCGCTTTCGCCGAAACGGAAGGTGATCTTTCTTTCAGTCTTTTTACTGATTTATTTTCTTACTTTATATATTTCATGGATGGATTTTTTTATTTTTATTTCTTCCTCAGCTCTGATGATCCTGGCTTTTTTGAGGGGCTCTTTGTGGCTGAAGACAGTGCTGTGTCTAGATTTGTCGACACCATACAGAAAGCAGTGAGAAATGCAAGTTGACAAAATATTGTTACAATATTAACCATAACCCCACTTCAATTACTTCTGCCTACCAACTACAAAATCAAACTGAGAGAATAAATGCCATATATTGAATGACACCATTGCTTTTATTTGATTAGTCATGTTTGTTTTGTGTGTCATAGACACAGGGAAGAGGCACATGTGGGGACTCCCAGTGGACAGCAGCGAGGGAAATTTCAAGGAGGGCTTCAAAATTGGATGAAGAGGGGATGGAGGTTGCTGTGTGCCGCCATGGATTCCTTCTGAAAGCCCTTAATATGTACAGGGGGGAGATATTTGCCTACCCTATGTATCTTTAGAAGGACCTCATGCCAGCCAAGGCACAATTCTTCGCGATGGACGTGGCTTGCAAATACTGGCCATACTTGGAGAAAGCTGCTAGTGTTCTTCCTGCTCTTCAGAAGCTGACCACTATGAAACCCTTTCTCAGTGTGATGCATGCTCGAGCCCATGCTACTAAGTGTGAGGTGTGTATAGTATTTTGGCATCATATGTACATTTGTTGGATTTACAAGCACATTAATAATATGAAATTGAAGTTAAGATACACTATAGCTTGTCTTTTTGCATAACCAATTCTTGCACAGCAACATGACATCATGACTTTGCGTAAACATACATGCCACTTTCAAGTCAAGTGGCGTGTTATCTATACGCATTTTGAGCTATCCGCGTGAATGTCAACGCCGAAACGAACCGTCATCTTTTGCGTGTATGTCTACACCGTTAAATGTCCAAGTGATTCCGCGTGTATGTGTACACCGTTAAATGTCCGAGCCGTTTAAGGTGAACTAAGTAACTTTTTTACCTTAACCGAACAGCTTTGGAGTCATTGTAATGTTTATATTACTGATTTCGTGTTGAATGGTGGTCGTCTCGCACCCCCCTGGTGCCTGTGAGCCGCAAAACCACCCTTGCAACTTTGGGCCGGCGAGCCGCCATCCATCCAGTATCCGGCTAGCTATAAGAAAAAGGTAACGCTAGATATTGAATTCTTCAAGTTTTCGTAATGGCTGATGTAAAAAAGAAGAAGAAAGCTCGGAAATCTTTGTCAGTGGACCAAAGAGGAAACGGGAGACTGACCACTGTTATTATGAAATTTCAAACCAAACGTTATGAACTAATAAATTATAGCCTTACCATAGTACACGTATTCTTGAAAAATAAATAAACAAACTAGGCTACGTGTTTGACTTTGTTTGGTCAATCGTTATGATGGACAACTCGGATCACCGGCAAAATTATAAAAGAATGTAACGTAACATTTATTTTGATAATGCATAATCTAAGTGGCTATAGCTGTAGGCTAAACTAAAAATAAATAAATAGCTGAAATATTTCTTATAGTATTGTTTTTCGCCATAATGTTACTGATTACGTTTGGCAACACTATAAAAATATACACTATCTCCACTATACAAATATGCAATAACATTTATATGATATTGTTCTGAGAATCATACATACCTCAGTGGACATGGCTCCGTTTGTTCGCCGGCTTCTCTGAAAACAAATGCACATGGCCTGAGCGAGATGGGAGGGGGGAGAGTTGACAACGAGTTTAAGACAGTTTTCTCATATATATATATACTCCGAAACTGTAGGGGGAGCTCGAGAGAGAAACCTGCGAGAAAACAGCAAAGAAATTGCCAGTCTTACTGAGCGCTGCTTTAAATGTCCGAGCGAAATGAAGCAAAATGTATATCTACATCTGGGGAGCGATATTTTTTTCCATAGGATGGTAGGGGTAGAGTCATAAATGGTATTACCCCAGTGACGGGTAGGTTTAGGGACAGGGTTGGGGTAGGTGATATATGTATATATATATATATATATATATATATATATATATATATATATATATATATATATATAGTAATGTAGGGTTAAGTCGTTGATAAACACGCTGAAAAGCGATTATGCGTGTTGATAGCATGCCAAAAATAAAATGGAAAAAAATTGGCGTGTCATACATACGCCATTTCATGAGATCAGTCTGGGCACAGATTGGAATGCCCTTTGATGCAAATTGTTGTTTGTGATATTGGGCTATATAAATAAAATTTAATTGAATTTCTTCCACCCTTTATTAACAGATTAAATGGAGTGGCAGGAACCAGGAAGGAGCAGGGACAACCGCTGGTGAGGAGGTGGAGCAAGTGAACAGCTACCTCTCACGTTGTGCCCTGACGACCAAATACATGTCCAAAGCAGGTGATCAGAGTGTTTGCAGTATTCTTGTATACTTTTTTTAGATTGATCATCATAACCTCATTATTTGCTTTCAACAGCACGGGTGGACATGCTTACATTGCATGCAATGGGTTGGAACGAGAAAAAAAATCTCTCTTTACATCAGGCACTTTCCACAAGATATGTGAAGGTAAGTCTCCCATTAATTGTTTTGTGTGTCCTTTTGTTGTGTTTACTTGGCCTGTTGTTAATCATACAAAGTTTTAATCCTGATTATTGTATAACACTGTTCATCAGACTCCAGGATGAGACTGCAAGGCTAGCTGACCTAAAAACAGAGCTACATTGCACAGATGAAGTGGTGTCACAGTGGCTATCTGATGTGAAGGAATGGGCAGCTGGTGGTAAGAATGACCAGATAAAAGAAACAACAAACATCCTTTCCCACTATCAAAATTTTAAGTTTGATATTAAAGAGCAGCAAAAAAATATTAGGTTGATGATCTATGGATTACAATACAGTTGGTGACATCACCTGCCACCGAAGACCAGCCAACTATGTGTCAACATCTAATGTGATGCCACATTTATGTCAGGTTTATTAGTATTTTCCAGTTTCCCTGCAGGAAGTGCACATACCAAGTTTAATTAAGTTGGATTAAAAGGTTTTACATACAAATTCAAACAGAGAAACGGGTCTGTGTTGTTTTAACAGTGAATTTGCTTTCACTATTTCTTCTACAGAGACAACTGATACAACTCATGCCAGTCAAGGCACCACACACAGAGGACTTCAGCAATCAATTGAGGGGCTCTACCTTAGTGTGAGGCAGCGGAAGCGAACCCTCTACCGTCAGAATGGTATAACTATAAAATATGATAGGTTGACAAATTCAAGCTACTGTATGCATCCTACTCCACCAACATGGAATTAGCAAATAATGTAGTAGCACAGTTCAGCTCAATCATTTAATTCTGTTCTTTAAATGACCAGTCTGTAGAATTTAGTGGTATCTCTCAGTGATGTTTGAAGTAATTAATGCACAATTATTATTTTCAGGCGATCATGAAAAGTAAGTGTGTGTGTGTGTGTGTGTGTGTGTGTGTGTGTGTGTGTGTGTGTGTGTGTGTGTGTGTGTGTGTGTGTGTGTGTGCGCGTGTGTGTTATTCCTGCCAATAGATTCCCCCCAAAATGTTAAACACTGGACCTTTGTTACCCATTTCAATCTACATTATAATTTTCACATACTACAAAAACTGCAGCTTTGCTTTTCACATTTTTGTTTTTTTTTCTTGCCTCACACCTCTGCCCCTATACTTCATGTCTTTCTAGAGAGCAGCAAGTTTTCCCATCGCCTTCGAAGGAAGCTGGCAGAAGACAAAAAGCTCCTTCTTCAGGAGATAAATAAATACAATGATCTTGTACTACACACTGCAACAAACATTGACGTAGCTGTGGTGGAGCATTCCCTAACTGGAGAGAGTACTGTGTCTCAAATATGGCCGTGGGAGGTTCATGGCAGTGGTATGTCTGTTTTCAGATGCTACAAAGGAATTTATTTACAGTTCTGCTAGAGTATACTGAGTTCAGTATATTACTGAACTAAGGCATGCATGTTACATATTGAGTGTTGTAATATTCATTTAGTTTAATGGTGTATTCTCAGTTTTCTTATGTATCAATTTGATAAAAAACTAAATGTTTGTAGTTATTATGCAAGATTGTCTCATGTGTACATATAACTGTAATTGATTCTTAGCAAACATTTCAATCAAGAAACAAGTGCATGACCTAGTGATGTTAACAATGCGACTGCATGAGGAAACAAGTGTTTTGGTGTTGGAGATGGCACAACACTGCACATGGTTGCAGAGCCTGGCAATAGTTCTCAAAAACAAGTTGGCTGAGGAGGGTAAGTTAAATTAAAACCCTGTCCATCTAATGTGAAAAAAAACAACACTCATCAGTCTCAGTCACAGAACTTGGATGGAGTAGATTGGTTATTGCTTTGACGTAGCCATTTGGCATGTACATAAAATAGGGATTCAACTTGTTACTGTAGCTATTGTAACCAGGGCCGCATTAAGAGCTCACTGGGCCCCGGGGCTATGAGTTACTGCAGGGCCCCCCACCACTACAGGTCACCAACTACATGAGCTAAATGTTCTATCATTATACGAGTCATTTTATCCATCTATGATATACTTCACAGTTAAGTTATATTACTTTTAAAACGATTTTTTATCATATCAAAATTTAATGGCACTAACATTTTATAATTCTTGTGACCAATTTCAATATCACAAAAAATAATAGTAACTTAAGAAAAGAATCTCAAGCTTACCGATGACAAGAGTCACAAATAACAATAGAACAAAGGCACATAATAAATCGACCTTGAAAAACTTAAAGCACTGAATAATATTATATTGTATAAAGTAGCCTAATTAAATATACAATACATAGTTTTCACTATAAATTCAACATTCATTCTTATTAATTTTTACAAAAGTGATTCATTCAAGGGCAGTGAATTACTTTCTTTCTGATGTTTGATTAACATTATGGACACAAATGGCGACAGCAGCTTTATTAGCAGCTACTGTCACTTTAAGACCTCAGAGTCGGAACTCAAGTGCGCTGTGCAAAACCGCCTCAAGTTCACCACCATTTAAAATAATTTGTATCCAAAGTCAAACCACAATGATTAAAAACGCGTTTAATTTATAAACTTACATCATGATGTCTCAGCAAAATTTACATATTTCTACCGGAT